GACAAGAGGAGGCCCCGAGGGAGGGGAGGGCAGGGCGGCCCGCTCACCGTTTGATTCGCAGCAGGCAGGCCGAGCTGGGCCGCTCGCTGTCCCAGTCACCGCTGACCGTGGGGTCCCAGAAGGCGGAATGCGTGAGGAGCGCGGCCCCCGCGGCCGCTGCCGCCGCTGCGGCGATGGGAGCTCCGCCGCTTCCCGGGGCTACGCTGGAAGCAGCCGGAGAAGAGCCGAAACCAGCGGCCGCCCACAGTTCGGCGGGGATGAAAACGCCGGGGTTCCCCGCGCCGCCGCCAGAGCTGGTCGAGGTGCCACCGCCACCGCTGCCCGCCGCCGCCGCCGCCAACACCGCGGCCGGAGCCGCCTCCTCGGCGGCCGGACTCTCCGCCATTCCGCGCCCGGCCTCGGAGAACGCCGCTTCCGGGACTCCGCACCAACGAGTCGGTCGGCCAGAGCGGCCACCGCCTCGCGCCTCCTCCACCGATCGCCGCCCAGAGCGTCACCTCCTACGCGCTGCCCTCCCACTACCGGCGCTGACTCCCCCCTCCCCCTGCTGCCATAGAGTCTCCTTTCGGTACCAGAAGGGCCCTTCCACGGAGACCGCCCTCTCCTCCCAATAGGCTGTGCGTCGCTGCGCAACAGCGCCCCCTGCGGTGCCGGCGGACTGCAGAGGCAGAGAAGTCGGACTCGTGGAAATGGGAGTTTTTTTGAGGCTCAGCAGGGAAGCAGCTGCTACGGAGATGCTGAGCACGGCCCCGAGCAGCCATCACTGAACCATTTTACTCCCAAGGTCACTGCTGCCATACCAGAGATACACAAAATAATCTGGTTTAATCCATTTCACGCACAAAAGACCGACGTAAAGAAGAAATGCAATCAGATTACAAGCCAGAAAAGGTCAGGTAACACAGCACTGCGCTGTGAGTACAGGTGAGCAGCTGACACACTGCCAACTACACCATGTTAACTGAAGGTTCCCAGGGACCTTCACTGATAGTTTTACCCCCACATTTCACAGGGAGCACAGATAAGCTTCCCCCATGCTCAAGAGAAATCTGCCTCTCTCCAGCTCACAGCTGTCTGTGATGCGCTTTAGCTTCTCACTGAAGGAAACATAAAAGCACAAGTTGTGCATCATCCTCTCTATCAGCAAGGGTTTCTGCTACTGCAGTCCAGCATGGTTCACATTTAAAACAGATAAACTTCAGCTGGAGTAGAAATCCAGGCATACAGAACAGGGTCCTCTCCTTTGAGCAATTATGTATTTGTCCCCACCTGGCAACCTCTCTGAACATATAGAACCTTTCCTCTTTGCCAGCTAGTGGGTTTTGTCTGGGCTCTTCCTAGAGACCCTTTTCTCCAAGCAGTGTCAAGAACGGGTTTGTCTGTTTGTTGTTTTTGGGCAGAAATCAAAACCCTTCTCCAACTCCTTTCACACTGCATAGGCAGCTATTAGAAAGGAACAGAGAAGTTACTGATATTCGTGTCCCCAGGCGTGTCCCAACCACTCTTCAGAGGCTTTAGTATACACAGACACTGCATTAATTCAATTACCTAAAGCTGATAACCAGACTAGCTTCCCACATGGTTACCTTCCTTAAAGGCACAGCTGTCTTACACTGGGTCCAAGATTCAGCTTAGACCTCAGAACTTCTCCTTGCTCAGTGTGCTCCAAACTCTGAAACAGCTGAGGCATGCAACTGTTGAGAAAGAAATAACACTGTCTGTGGTCCTGTGCTTAAACCAAAGCTTTGAAGAGGCCTATGAACAGTGTGACCTTGAAACCATTTTTTTTTTCTTCGTTAAAGAAATCTCAGATGGTACTGTAACGTATATCCTTGTGTACTTGCACAAGGACATATGCCATTTTATAATCCAAACTCCTTTAATACACTCTGTACACTCACCTGTACCCATCACCTTTTCTATACCATAATCTTCAGTAATATTATGTGGTGATAATAATGTTTTGTCAGCTCAAATATAAGAATTTGCTTTATTAGAGCAATGCTTGTTGGGATCACTGAATAAATCCGACACAGTGTTTGAGCTGTTCAAGGACATCCCCTTTTATTTGGCTGACTTCATTTCTCCTTCTTGCTGCCACCATTTCACATTCCCACTGCTTTACCAGTAGGTGTTCCTAGATCTAGAATATTACCCTCTTCAACTAATACATCAACATCCCCCAATGGCTTTCCCAATGATGGACCAGCACATAAGAAAAAAAAAAAATAATAAAGCCACCACTTTATTTAGAGAAATCTTTTCTTTAATTGTCAGTCTGGAACGCTCTGATGAAAGCAGACTCAAACCGCCGAGGACAAAGTGATGGAAACTGCAGCCACGCCAGAAGTTGTCACATGGCAAAGAGGATAAGGAATGCCACCATCAAACAGAAGAGACCCATGGCCTCAGACAGGGCAAAGCCCAGGATGGCATAGGAGAAAAGCTGCTGCTTGAGAGATGGATTCCTGCATGTATACAGGGGAGGGAGGGAACAAAAAACAACAAAGTGAAGGTAGAAAAAAAAAAGAAAAAAAGAAAAGGACCCACAGTGAGAAAAACACACAACTAAATAAACCAGACCCCAAATCACATCACAGAAAGCCAGGATTATGCCATACAGTCATCAAGCTTTGGAGGATGAACCAGATTTATGGCAGCTAGCCACCATCTGGAATGAAAAAGCCATGATTTTTCCCTGGGTTGAACGATTTTCAGTAGCCATGTGAAACCCCCAAAGCTAATTTCACCTGCCCTGGTGGTACCAAGCACCAGTTGCCATTGATGACTAGTGCTTCATTCCTTCTAGGAGGAGGCAGAGCTCTACAGAACTTCTGCATCGCCCAATAGTAAGTATAGGGTGGATTTAAACAGTTCAGGCACTTTCTTATTTGTTTAAATGAAATGATGAAATGTAACATTCCTTTTACATTCCAGAGAGGAATGCTTCAGTTAAAGTATGTGATTCTACACGCTACACATATAGAGTAGAACATAAGCACCAGAAAAAGCTCCTCTCAGTTTAGTGCTAGAAAGGAATAAATTCAAGCCAGCCTGGCATCTTACTTACCTGGCATAGCCAATGATCAAGCTGCCAAACACTGTCCCAATACCTGCTCCTGAACCAGCCACCCCAACTGTGGCAGCACCAGCACCGATGAACTTAGCAGCAGTGTCAATATCCCGGGAAACTGCACTAGTTTGGAACTCACGGCGGGTCAGCTGTGGATAGGACACACCAGCTGGCTGTGGGATACATAGAAAACAGGTTAATGGCATTGAATCATCAATATGGAAGTCATCTTAATAAAACATATTTTCACTGTTTATAATCTACTCAGAACAGAGCAAAAAATAATGCTCAGCTACCACTGGTCTGGGCTAGAAGTTATATCTCTTTACTAGCCGTTGTGATGATGTAAAAATCTTACTCCTCCACCTCTGGAAGAGTCATCAAAACATCAAGCACAGAAATACGGGAGCCAATTTAATTTACCACATAAAAGAGTCTTACCTGTACAGCCTGAGCCTCAGGCCTGCTGAACACAGACACTGAAACAGGCCTGGCCAGAGCCCTGGAGCAGCACCGGAACTGAAGCAAAACAGATCGTTAATTCCTACAGTTAGGTGCACCCTCACCAATTCTCAGAAAAGAACAGTGTTAGAAAATTTTCGAAATGTTTTAAGACTGAAAAAAGCATAGACAAATTTAGAGCATTCCTACTCTAGACAGTTGGATTCAGCCCACGAGGAATGCTGTCACAAGCTGCAGGATCACAGCTGTTACTTCACAGCTCAGCCATTATCACAACCCCAGAGGTTTCATTCCTAGCTTGTATTTTGTGACAAAAGGATGACATCTCTGTGATAACTGCTTATCTCACACTGCTGTTGGGCTCACAGCCCAACAAATGCTTGCAGGGACAGTGGGCATCACTCTGCAGTCACCAGAGGTCACCTTGTTCCCCCCCCCTTTATTACCCACGTGTAAAATGGCTTTGTGGGACCCTCTCTCAGCCAGGACCGCCCAGAGTTCTGATCGCTGCCCCATTGGGAAAGCCTCCATACCCCATTACACCCCTCTGCAGACAGTTCTTACCAGAGCCGGAGAGCTGAGAAGAGACAAAGAAGTCGTCTGCATCTTGCTTTACCTATTACTAATAACGACAAGAAGGAATTAGGAATCCCAGTGCTGCCACATCCTCCTCGCGGCCCAACCCCACAGATCTAGAGATCCGCATTTCTCCCTTCCCTCATTCTAAACACCCCAAAACCACCTCAGCACAACCGAGTCCCGGACGGAGCAAAGGGACAGCACAGTCCCATCAAAGGGTACGGTCCCGGCCAGGCACACCCCACCGGCCAGGACCAAGGCCGCGGTGCCGCTCGAAGCCCCGGGGCCGCACACGGACCCCACCTGCGCGGCGTCCACTCCGGGCTGCGACGGCGGCGGCTGTGAAGGGAGAGCGCGCCCCCACCTCGCTCACCTTGCCGTGTCCCCCAGCGTCCTCCGCGCCGATTGGCTACCGCTACACGCGGCGCGCGGCATTCTGGGACAACATCCTCGCTCCCCATTGGCCGAGGTCAGGCAAGCTCCTCCCACCAGCATCCGGGATAGCAGCATGGGGCGGGAGGACTGTGTTACGATGCGGGCCTCCATTGGTTAGTTATTTTCGCTACGCGCTCTGCGATTGGCTGGCGGCCTGGAGGTCTCCCAGAGGATCATGAGGCGCGCGGGCCGCTCCTCGAATCATAGAGCTGACCATGGAGATGGCGGTCGTTGCGGCGCGGGCTCGGCCGTCCTCTCACGCTGCTCTCCGGCACACCGGAGGCTGTTGCGGCCGCTCCTGTTTCCCGTTCCATAAATAAAGGTCCGTTCGAACACTGAAACTCGTCTTTGCGTTTTGTTGAAGCGCGGCTTTGCTTAGCGAAGCACCCCGCACCGAGGGCGGTCCTTGCGCCGCGGCACCGAACTACAAATCCCAGCAGTGCAGGCGGGGCTGAGCCTGGGGAGGCGACCCTGGGCGGGGCGGCAGAGCCTGCGGAGGAGCGTTCTGCTTTTCCTGGTGCTCCGCTTCCTCCTCGGAGCTCTCCAGCCGTGCCTGTCGGTAAGTGAGCCGGGACAGGGTGTGGGGTCCTGGGGATGCCCTGCAATCCCGTTGTCCCCCTCTTCCTTCCCTCCGCTTTTGTTTCAGTGCAGGGTGGAAGGCTGATTGTGGACGGGGCTCGCTTACTGCTGAGATGCTTTCACATTCGATTCCCGGCAGTGAGTGCAGACTCTGGGCCGGTGGAGCTGGGAGCGGCACCCCGTTCCACTCCACGGCTTACGTAGGGATGCTAACAGGGGCTGCAGTCAGGGCACCCCCCCGTGGCATGTAACTTGGCACATCAGCTTCCTGCCTGCAGCTGGAAATCAGCCTCACTTAAGAAGGGTTTGGTTGTTTTTGTTGTTGTTGAATCATGGGATGGATTGGGTTGGAAAGGACCTCAAAAATCACGTAATGCCAACCCCCCTGCCAACCACTACATCAGAATGGGCAGGGCCTCATCCAAGCTGGCCTTGCACACCTCTAGGGATGGGGTGTCTGCCCTTCCCTGGGCCAGCACCTTTCTGCCCTCTCAGTGAATAAATTACCCTTGACATCTCATCTGAATCTCTTATTTTACTTTAAAAGTTTCCCATTTGTCTTATCACTATTTAGCCATGTAGAAAGTTGATTTCCTTCCTGTTTATAAGTATCAGAAAGCTGCTAACAGAGCATTCTCTTCCTAAGATTGCATTTTTGGAATGCTGCAGCTTATAAAGAGAAGGAAACAACAGCAAAAGGAAATCAACCAAAAATCCCCAGAAAGAGGTTGGACCATGAATATCAGAGGGAGTGTTGTATATTCCATATTGCTCTGTGTGAGGTGTAATTATCTCATTACCTCGGCTGTGGGCTGGGGCTGACCTTTACTTATTGCCATCTGCAAAGGTGGGGCTGTGACCATTGCCTTGGTGGATCCAGCCTCACAGGACCTCTTCCTGCACTGCTTCAAAACTGTTCATGTAACAAACTTCATCTTAGTAAGATGTCTTTCTTGTCTACTTCCTGGAAATGGACTGCATGCTGTATCATCAGCACAGCCTGTGTGGCCATTGGGGTTGCTTTTCTGCAAGATCACTGTCATTTTTGCTGAAAAACAATACTTCTTCATTTTTTTTTCCCCAGCAGGATGCGTTGTTTTGCTGCATCCAGGCACTGAATCCCACCAGCAGACATGCATGCATGCTTTTGCTACTAGAAGGCTTTGCTGCTTCTCTTCTGTGTAGCAGATTTGTAGGAAGGTCAGCAGGGTCTGGCTTATGGGGTCCCAAACAGGAGAGAGGTTGTTACGTTACATGGGCAGCCCTAGAGTTCCAGGCACTGTGGCTGGGAAGCAGTGGTCAGTCTTACGTTACTAAAAAGGATCTACAAGCTGTCTTGAATTTAAGGAGCAGTCTCATCACAGCAGTAGGGACTCTGGTGTTCCCTTGTGCCTTGCTGATAAATATTGGTCCATGTGTAGAGGACCTTACAGCTCTGTCACTCCAAACTGTTCCTCTTCGTATCCTTCCTGGACACGATTATACTGGCAGCACGTGGAGATGAGATAATTACATTATGCTTTCTCCTCTCCTAGACTTCCACAATGGATGAGACTTCAGATGAACCTCCCACTTCTGCTGTTGTTTTAGACAGCGGCCACTTCTCCCAGGTCATCTTTAACAACGTGGAGAAATTTTATGTTCCTGGAGGAGACGTAACCTGTCACTATACTCTCACACACAACATTGTTCCTCGTGGGAAGGACTGGGTGGGCATCTTCCGGGTAAGTGAATACTGTGCAACCAAGTACGATTAGGCAGCTTCTGACAGAAACACATTGTTTGGCATTTAGTTGATACTTCACCATTAGGAAAGGTCTTAAGGCTTTGGTAGAACACGGTAAAGAATTTATTTTCAGCGATAACCTTGTGTCGTGCAACATTTTTCTTGTGCTCAGGGACAGAGTGCCAGAACTCTGTTGTTACTTCAACAGCTTCAAGGCCAACAGAACAGACCGTGATCCACAGAATCTGTGAAGAACAATTGCATTAAAGACCATACTGGCACCATCTCTTCCAGTATGTTTCCTACTTCAGTGCTCCCCTCACTTACCTAACACATTCCATAGAATAAGGCATAAACTGGTGAGGATCTTTGATTCATGCATGGATTCTGACTCTTAAGAAGTCAGGATTTCGTTACAAAAGTCCTCCCAGCAGCTGGTCTATGTAGTACTACTTTCCAATTGCCATAGGATAAACGTGAAGTATGTAATCCCTTACAAGAATTTTGCTGTTGCAGGTGGGATGGAAAACCACCCGAGAATATTACACATTCATGTGGGCTCCTCGGCCCAGTGATGTCCGTGGTGATACTGCTGTGCAGCAACAGATCCAGTTCAAAGGTGGGCTGGGAGGTTGGGTCACTCACAGTATATTTGTGCAGGTGCACACGCAGGCATGCACACATCAAATCATTGCTGCCACTAATAAGTATTATATTCAGAATTACAGAATATCTTAGTAATGTGCTTTGGTAAACTTCAAATCCCAGCAGCCTAATACATTTGAAAGAACTACTTCAAGTCTACTGGGTTCTGCAATCCTGTCTGAATGATTTTGTTTGTGTTCCAATCACTATCACGAAGAACTAGTAATGGTGAAGGAACAATATTGAAGATGTCTGTTTTGCTAGCTTCTGACTTTCTGTGCTAGATAGTTAAGAGACTCAAATAATTAGAAGCTGCATGTGACAGTGTTATTGTGTTTGTCTGAAGCTTATTACCTGCCCAAAGATGATGAATACTACCAGTTCTGCTACATTGACCAGGATGGTACAATCCGTGGAGCCAGTGTGCCTTTCCAGTTCAGAGCAGAGACTGAGGATGATATTCTGGTGGTTACCACACAGGTATGCATCCTCTCGTCCCCTTCTTCTTCCTGCCTTTGCTTTTATTTGCCTTCCATTAGATGGGAGTAAATGTGTGCACATGGACAATAACTGAGGTGCTGTGAAGCCAGGCACATTGTTTTGCAGTTGGAGCATTGTGGTTTTTTATGCTTCCACTACAACTAAACAACTTTGCTTGCTAGGGAGAAGTGGAAGAGATTGAACAACAAAACAAGAATTTGCTTAAAGAAAATGAGGAGCTGCAAGCCAACTGTGCAAGTCTCCAAAAACAAAATACAGATCTGCAGGAAGACCTCAAGAAGACACAGGTACAACAAAAGTTCATATATGAAGTCAGAAGCTTTAATTCTGAAAGATAAGGTAAAAAGTCTGAGTCAGGTCATGCTCTGTTGTATGCTTCTGGGAGAAAATGAAAGAGTTTTCTTCCTAAATTATCTGTTTAATCATTTAACAAGGGGTACAACACCTCTGCTACAATAATAATAACAGTGATGAACAAGAGGCATCATCAGAGGTGGGGTTCAGGAACTTATTCAAAAATGTTTGGTAGGCTCTCCAGAAATTTCCAGCCCAGCCCTGTTCCTAACGTTCCTGTTTTCTCTTTCAGTTTTGCTCAGGGCTTAGTGTAAACAAAACAGGGTCTGAAAGATACAAAGGAGAGATTTTCCTCCTTCAGGTGGGCTGCCTGGAAGCATTGCATTTTGCAGTTTCAGTGCAGAGGAGGACTATTGCCTGAGTCCCATTTTTTTCTTCCTACTGACCTCATTTTTGATTTTCAGGAGCTACAAAATGTTTTGGAGTCCCTTAGGAGCAGCACTGAAAAATTGGAGCTGGAGCTGAATTCCCTGAAACAGGAAAATAAACACCTGAAGGAGCTGAATGAGTGCAGAGAGGCAGAACTGCACCAGTAAGTGTATCTTCAAGATCAATTTAAACAGGATTCCATGCAAGCAAACATCTTGCTGCTGTGGATTAAGTTTCCACTTGTGAAAGTGTGGTGTGTTTTGACTTGCTTTGAACAGATTCAAGGAGCAAATTCAGAATGTAACCTCTGAAAAGGAACATCTGGAAACCAAACTGAAAACAGCCCTGGATCATGTTGATCAACTGCAGGTAGAAAACACATAGCTTCCTTTCTTTTCTTTTATGGACAGTCTCTGATGGTTAGCCACAGGTTCTGGAGGTTTGCTTCATGCACCTAAAAGATCCTGTGCTTCTCAGTCATAACTATTTGTATTCACTTGCTCCCCACTCTTCTTTCTTTCCTAGTCTCAACTTCTGAGTTATGAGAAGGAAATTGAAGAGCTGGTTCGTTTGGACCATGACAAGACCAAGCAGTGTGAAAGTTTAAAGGAAGAGAATAACCAATTATGCTTGACTATCACTCAAAAGGTAAAACCTTCCCTGAATATTAGGATGCTTGGGGAAGCCAGGGAAGAAGCTGAATGGTGTCCTTTGCAGTGACTACATAGAAATACAGTTCAATTTTAGGAAAAGTCTAGGAGATTTCATGACAAGGAGAAATCTCTATGGTGCTATGGGTGTCCACACAGGTAGTTCTGTGAACACACCACCTTGCAGATTCTTGTGGTACACACATACATTTTAGTTTTGGAAGAGATGCCTGTCTAAGTAGACTTCATAATTCTGATTCTCTGTAGCAAGAAAATTCAATCTCTCTCTTCATCTTTTTTGATGAAGCAGATAGGTGGAAATTCAGAATGGATAGTTAGCTGATTGCAAATTGTTACAACTAGGCAAAACTGTTTCAGGGTGGAGACTTGTATAAATAAAACAATTTCAATCTGCCTAGCCTATCTGCAGTTGCTTTTAGCTCCAAAAGGAAGCTGATGAGTAACTGGTGAAAGGCAGCAACCTTGCTGGTTTCCTGTATGCTTACATTTTGTCCCTTTCTCATTTTTACTGCTGTAGATTTGCCATTTAATAATAAAAAAAGATGAAAAGATGGAATATATTCAGAATGCCATGAAACAACCTTTACAATATAAAGTTTCTATTCTGTGGTTTAATGTTCTGCCTCTCATTCCTGACCTGACATCTTCTTTCTTTGATTTCTCTTTGCAACTCTACCTGTGAAACTCTGGGAATTCTGATCAGGAGGAGCAAAAGAAAGAACTTAAACAGTGCCTGGAGCACTTGAAGGGATCAGAGGCCAAGCTGACACTTCGTCTGCAGAATGAACAGGTGTCCAGCATTTCTAGGGGTGCAGCTGGGGGGGGGGGGGGGGGTGTCTAAAAAGTGCTGAGTACAGAGCTCTGCTATATTGTGTAGAATTTGCCGGTGTCTGTTTAGGGGAGTTGACATTTACTTTAAGCCCCTCTGACTTCAAAAATGAGGTGCCTAAAATAGATGTGATTACCTCTGCTGTGATGCCAAATGTTCAGGGTTCTTACAGTGGCACTTTGAGAATGACTGCAGAATCCCTATGGACTCTAGCTTACCTAATTTACTGATTTAATCCAAGATTTAATCCAAGATTAATTCTTAAGGATGTACTTGCTATCCACAGTCAATGCAGATGTCAGAGTATCAGGAAATGTGTCAGGCTTGGAGGGCTCTTACCTGCCAGGGTAGAATCCTTTTCTTTAACCTCTCACTTTGACGTGTTGTACATCCCCTCTGGAGGCCACATCATCCTCTCATGCTGTAATGAAAATACAGAGCTTAAGTGGTTGGTGACACAGAGTTTGCCCTAGATCAAAATCTACAAAATGCTAAGACTCTTGTTTGAAGAGGTTTAATTGTTGGGAATAAATGCAGTTAGAAGCTGCCTGTATGTGTGATCTGTGCTTGGAGCTGTCATCTTTTTGTTTGCCAGTGTCCTACAATTTAGCTAACAACACTCTTCCTTCATAGCAACAAAACAGTGACTTAATGAAAGAGCTGGAAGAGCAGAAGCGTTTGTTTCAGGCTTTGCAAGCAAAAAAGAAGGAATCTGATGGGGAAAATCAGGTGAGAACTTGTCACAGTCCTTACGTTTTTCACGCATTGAATATGACACAAATCTGTCCATTAGTGTTCAGTTCCACTGACCCTTCCACCAAACAGATTGCTACCTGTGCCTTTACAACTGCAAGATTCTTTTCTGTCTTTTAAAATGTATTACTCTATTGCAGTCATCCTGTCTGCCTGGGCAGGCCACAGAATAGATCCTTGCACTTCCTTTCTTCACTTTCTGTCAAGCAGGACTAAGATTGAACTATCTGAAAACTGAAGAGCAATTTTTACTCTGGTTTAAGAAGAGCTATGTTAGTTCTGTGTGTAACTTCTCACTGAATTGGTCTCCTGAGCTCCTGCAAATTAATTTTGCCCTTCTGTCCCTTTGCAGCTACTAAGGAAAGAGAATGATTCCCTCCTGAGGCATCTCTCTCAGCCTAGAGACGTTTCTTCCTCTTTTGTTGCTTCACAAGCCCAAGCTTTTGTTCCAGCTCCTGAAGACTTTGTATTTGGAAATCCATATCATGGTGAGAATATTTTACATTCTGTCTGATACCACAAATACACAGCAGTAAGGGTCTCAGCCAACTGTCCTCCCTTTTCAAATTGGATGCTGTGGAGAATGCATTCTTATCAGCACCTGTGTAGCTTTGCATGTTTGCAGACGACTTGGCAGCTGCAAAATGCTGCCAGATGTTAAGAGCAGATTTAAGTCATCAGCAGTCTGTCATTTACTGCAGAAAGAGACAACCATCACCTAGCTCCTTTGTCAGTGGGACAGCGAGTTCTGTAGCTTATGTCCAGTTTCTATAGTCCTAAATGTAGAGGTTTAGATCCAGAGCCACAGCCTCACATTTCAAGAATTATTAGTTATTGACACTGTTATTACATGTTAGTTATTGCACTGTTAAACGTTTGAAGTGGCTGAATGAACTTTTTCTTCTTTTTTCCCCAGCTGCAGGAGCAAATTGGGCAAGAGGCACAGGAATAGTAAGTAAAGGAGACATGAATGGACATGAATGAGTGACATACAGACAAAAATCAGTAGTTGAAAATGAGAAGCACCAAGTTCAGTTCTGTAGCTGGTCGTCCATTTATTGTTTTAGTCCTGGTAATATAATGGACAATAAAATGGAACCATGTACACTTAGTCTGTAGAATTGGTAACATGTCAGGGAAGAGAAGTTCTGTTCACCTTAATCTTTAAAGAACAGCTTTTGGCAGCATCAAATGTCAGAATGAGCAACTGCTAAATACCTTATTATTTTGTATTGCAAACATTGACTTGTGCCATTTAGGAGTTTTAAGTGTTATTTAGAGAAGCTTGGAGACATTTGAAAACTTCAATGTATTACAAGTCAGAAAGGCCCAGAGCTGATGATATCTGACTAGCAATTTTATTTCTTCTTTTTGAAGAAAAAATACAAATACAAATTTAAAATTGTCTTTGTTTGCATTTCCTTTGTACTCCAGGATTCTATCAGGAAATGCCCCATATGCAATTGCATTTTTCCTGATAATATTGAAACAAGAGACTACGAGGCCCACGTGCAGGGCCATCTTCTGGAGTGTCCAGTCTGCAATGGAGCTTTTGACAAGTCCAACCAGCAGGTGTTTGAAGACCATATGTTGTGCCATAGCCTGGAACGATTGTGAATCCTTATCTGTTCTGTACAATAGGTGGTGGAGGCTGCAGCTTAGAATAGACCAAAATTATTCTAGAGACTTGATCTATGCTGGTAAGAAATGGAATTGTCATCCCCTTAAGTCCTCTGCCTTGGATCAAACAACTGTGCTTGCTAAATGAGTTAGAAATCCTGTAATTAATAACTATCCAGGTAGGGTCAAACAATAGATCTAGTACAGCAGTACCAGCTGATACAGGTCCATTATAATGGTTTCATTATTCAGTAGAGCACTGTGATTGTTAACCAAAGAGCAGAAGCATTGCATAGTCTTTTAGGACCACACCTTCAGTCTGGTTCAGCTTCTGGAACATAGAGTTAAATACTAATAAATACAGAAGTGTAAATAAGAATATATTTTCCTTTCTTCTTTTGCCTTTAGTCATAAAAAAGTGAGATATATATTTATAAAGAAAATACTTGTTTGTAGATCTAAAGGTCTAGGGTTCTTCTTACATCAGAGTAGGCAGTATAGCTTAGTGTACAATGAGGTGCATGCACTGTTGTCCCTTTTTTCCTGTATGACCAGACTGAAAGTAAATGGTGATACAATCTGTGCTTGTGTGGTCACTCTGACACTGTCCTGTCATGCATCCATCTCATGGCGAGGGAACCCTGATGTTTATGAAACAGGGAAAGTCAGAATGGCCTGGAGCCTGTAGGAAAGCAGTAGCTGAGTTGTCATGAGAGTGCTGAGGATAAATGGGCTCTCAGTCTTGAAACTGGGCATCCTCATTTAAAGGAAGTGATGAAAGCCCTCCTGACTTAAAATGAAGAGCCTGTTCTCAAACCAAAACATTGTGATTGAAAACTGCTAAGTGCCTTGGGACATTACAACGCTTTGTGGATGGATTATCCAGTCACTATTTTTATTTCTGCTTTGGGATTTTCAGATTATGATTAACAGTCCTTTTGTCCATGCACATACAAATGGGTGAAGTTTTATTATCCAGCTGTGTTAGACGTTTCCTGCTGAATATCTGAAGCAAAAGAAAATCATAAGAAGTTTACATAGAGTCTTAAGACCATTAAGAGTAACAAAGACTTTAAAATGTTTTGATTCTACATGTAATTTTTTTAATCTAGGTTTAAATGGAGTATTTCTGCCTTTAAGATGTACACTGGTAAGCATGATTTTGAAAAATCTGTAAGAGAAAATAAGAGCAGAGAAAAAATAAAAGCTGTACTGAGAAAGACCTTGAAAAAAGATGACAAGTGATTTAAATAAATTGGAGGAATTGTTGGTGTCTTAATGGAGCTATTTGCAAGCCTTGGATTACTTTCTGAAGCTTTTCTCTAACAAAGTACTTAAGCACATCTCTGAATAACTTTTAGCATGCAACATAATATCTCAGTGGTTAGTGGGGCTGCTGCTGTCTAATAGCATCTACTGAACTGGCAGATCTGCATTGGCTTCTGTCAGCATGGAAATGTATCAAGAAAGCCGAAGGATAGGATGTTATTCATTACTATAATGTGTATCAACATTCCTGATGTATCTTTATGCCAATTTTGGCAAATATTCTGTCGTTGTGAGGCTAATTTTTAACTGGGCACCTGTTTTCTCAGGAAATACCCCACTGGTTTCCAAGAAAATGCTCCCACCCCAAAGCTTTTCTACGCATCCTCATTTAAAATTACATTTTCTTTTCCAATTCTTTTCCTGCTTTACATCTTGACCGAAGCAGATCAAATGCAGAGCAGAAGCAGTCTTTATTAAAACTCCAGCAGGTCGCCCAAATACCACTTACCAGCCCTGCTCATTTTCTACACTGTTGGTAATGCTGGCTTTAGCAGCTCAGATCCTAAAGCCCAGCCCTGTCATTAGAGGTTAGTTGTGTTACAGCGCTGTGTCCCTGAGCTACCACTGCCAAGTGTTGATGTTGCTTCCACCCCTTGTAATACTCTGGTGCCGACCATTTTCTGCTTGCCACCTCCTACCATCTCGACGAGACCTCAGAGCCCGTTTTGAGGTGCCAGCCATAGGACACAGACAGCAAGCAGGTGGCCGGCAGAGGGGGTCAGACTGCAATAAATCTCACGAGGATGCTGCATTTCAAAGCGTTTTTAAGGTATGCCATTTGTTTTCTGTAATAACGATCCAGATTCAGACTTCCAAGACATAATATACTTCTGCCTGACACATCCTGAGCAGCCAGGGACCAATTTACCTCCAAGTACAAACTACACTGTGTTTTCTAAGCAAATTTTCATTTTACATGTAATTTACAGCTTTATTTATGTTACTGATGTATTTAACATTTGGAATTGCAGTATGTTTCAACCCTATCTCAATTGTATGGTTTAAAACAGAAATAGCTCAAATGGTTGATAATTAGATCTAATTATACTTTGGATGAGATCCCATTTACGTTGATATGTATTGCATGAGGACCTTGAAATAAATTTTCAAAAGTGACAGTAGATACTTGGCACAATCTATGTCTGGAATCACATGGAATCTGACTGAATGGGCATTTATTATATATAAATATTTAAAGGGGTATAAAAATCTTGCAGGCCAAATGTCTGTGGATAGAAAAGACAAACCAGATGACAGCATCTCCCAGCTGCAAAGGCATGCTGTCGATTGCATAGGGCACCAGACTGGCAGTTCTTTCCATCAGAAAGACCATCATCTTGCCTGCAAAAAGGGGTTTTTTTGGTGCAGAAAAAATGAGGTTGGCCATGAGGCAGACAGTTACAGTATCCAGATTCTCAAACTCTTTCAGTCTTAACAGTCAGAGTTTCTGAAAGGTGATGGGTGGTTCTGCTCCTTTCACAAAACGATTCCCAAGCTCACAGCCACAGCCCCTGTACTCACTTTAGCAGCCTCTTTCCTCCACCCTTTCTCCTCCTGATTTCTCATCATCTATCTATGCCTTCCTCTTTCTTACTGAACAAGGTACACCTTCAGCGTCGTCTTTCTCCTCTGAAATTGCTGTGCTGAGGTTTAGGGTGAGGAGAGGCTGAGGCATGGAGTGGGGTCCATCTGGCAGCACTGGCAGAATGCAGGCTGGGAGTAGTGCTGCTGCTTCTCTTCACCTTAATGAGGCTCCTGCAGAGAGCAGAGGAAGCAGAAAGAAAATAAAAAGGTTCCTAACAAAAGGAATGTAAATAGACAAGGTGCGGGTGAACAATAGAGGAGAAGGAAAGCAGTGTCCAAGCCAGCAACTGAGTGGTTTTGCTTGCTAATCAACTTGTCAGATTGATTTTAAGACACAGCAGAAGAGATCGATAATTCTTTACAGCAGTATAATGCACTTCCCAGGAGTTAAAGTGTTCTGAACACCAAAGTCCTTATTTCAGGGATCAGGTCTGTACTTTCTTAGTAAGTGGCAGTGCTTCTGTATTTGGCATGTCAATTATGGGAAAAGGGAGAGACTGGGGAATGCAATCACAGTTAAAAACAATGGTTCTAAAACGACACTGAAGCAAACTGCCAGGCTGTTTGAGATGGGGCAGCTCTGAAAAATCTGGGGAAGTGTTCAGACGTCCCTGTGAAACTGAGAAATGAAGATATTATACTTCTGTCGAGCTTTTTTTGTTGTTGTTGCTTATGTTATTTTGTGAGGACATTTTTTCTCTTTATCTTTGTATTGCAGTAGAGATCCAAACTGACCTCCTCTTGCTCACCCAGGAGTTAGTGAGGCCCTTTATCTCTAAAGCAGTTGCACAAAGTGGGCATATAAAGGCATGAAATCAGAATACTGCTGTTCATCACCCGCTTTGTTCTGAATTAAATCCCTAACTGAGATGCACTGAAGAAGCAGATCTTTACAGTTTTGTTGGTGAAACGCTTGGGTCCCAGAATTAGATCCGTTGTTTTCTCTAAACAGCTATTAGCCACTTCCATTATACTAACAGAACTGGTTTCCATCCTCTGGCTCATTTGTTCCAAACCAGCATTATTGAAGTGAATGGGGTCTAGGCCCTGGATATTAGAAGAGCTGTTGGTCTACTCATAAATAACAAGTTGTCAAGGATTTTAATGGAAACCCTTAGAGTGCTGTAAATCTGTGCAGTTCTGCCTGGACCCCCTCCCTCATTTCCATCACAATATCACTCCAGTGGGACTGCAGCTTGCAGCATGTGCCAGGCAGCCTAGATTGGTGGGACACAGGGGAAGAAGGGAAGGGAGAAAGAAAGAAAGAAAGGAAAAAAAAGCTGGAGAAGAGGTGGGGGATTCAGAACAGTTGGTAGTGCTGAAGCATCTGCTGGGTGGCCGGTTTTGGAGTCACCTGGCCTATTGAGCATGGCAAGGCAGGGAGGGTTATTCATCCAGGGGGACTGGGAAGGGGGGATAACAGAACCAGGGATGCTTGTGGAATAAAGATGGATGTGCTGCAGTTTACATTTTGCTCCACTGGGCTGTGAAGTAGTAAATCTCAGCAAATAGAGGGTTGTGTTAGTTTTTGATCACCATTTAAGCAGTAGAGCTACTGATGTGATACTGTATAGACTGTCTCTTGTTGTTAGTAAAAGCAGGGCTTTTGAAGATGATTTTTTTTTAACCTTCCCACTAAGTCCAAACTGCCTTCAGGGAAAAATTAACACTGTACCCTGATCCAAATAGCAATGTTGCTGTGGTTCACTGGATCTGGTCAGAAACTGGGTTGCTCCAATGTTCCTTGACATTATTTACTCACCCTCCAAATATCATCAGCTTAGCTGCAGAGATCGTAACATCCTGCTGCATACAACACTGAAGCCTTCTAGGAAAGAACTTGAGCTCACTCATCCATTCTCTGTTGGCTATATTATGGGATATGTTATGACTGGCTTGGATCAAGGCACAGCCATACTTGTGCCCACCCCTCTTGCAAAGCAGATGGGACTACATGGTGCCCTATTTAAGAGTTCAAGAGCTCCACAGCTCATTAAAATTTGTATGCAAGGTCACTTTAGGCTTAAAGGTAGGCTTACATCCTTGCTTGCCATGTAATAGAAATAAAAAATGACATTGGTGACAAAGCTTCCACTAGCTTCAGAGTGCCCAGGGCTTATAGTCTTACATAATTACTAGTCTGGCACTGAAAGCCTAAAATACAATAAAGCCATCAGCAACACAGATGCTAAATTAATTACTTTAAAATATAGCTCCTTCCACATTACAACCTCACAAGGATTGAAGAAGCAGGTCTTAAGAGACTTATGCCCTATATTATGTAATTAAATATTACCTCTGTGCTATAGATAGGGCAGCAGCCACGTAGACATGAAGGAATTTAGCCAAAGTCTCTCAGAAAACGTGTGGCATAATCCTCCTCTCCCTCACCAGATTTAACATTCATTTTGAGAAAGGCTGCGCAGCACGAGAAGCGAGCCAGGATGGAGAAAAAAAAATGGATGGCTGCCAAAAGGGATTGATGTCCTTCAGGCTCCAGGGAGTTTTTAACCCTTCCCAATGGTTTTGCCAGCCTGAAAAACCTGGTGGGGTTCATCAGCCCGCGCTGCTCCTCTGCTGATCCATAAGAGATTTGCCAGTGGGAGCAGCTGCTTCAAGAGTGAGTTGATAACTCAAGCCCTGAGGCACTTACATCTGTATGTCTCATACGCTGCCTGCCTCCCTTCTCCAGTAACAGGATGAGACTAGAATATTGCATGTGCTTTCATAATGTGTATTCCCGTGGGGCCTTGGTCATGATTATAGCATCTAAATGCAACCAGAAACAAATAATGACAACGAAAAAGACAAAAAAGATGGGAAATCTAAAGATTCCGAATATTTTTAATACTTCTTTGTGTTTTACAGTAAGTTGCAGTTTTGCCAGCCACACAGTGTGGCTAATTCCTTTTTATTAGCAGTTATATTGTTGAGAGCAGGTACTGCATGTTATGTAGTGCAGCTGAGAGAGCCATATGGAATTTTAATCTCTAGGAGTTATTACCTGATGGTAGCAGTTTATGAACCCACACTTGTCTTAGCAGAGTCGCTGAATTTGACAGTTCTTCCTCAAAGAGCTTGATTGCTAGGATAGAGCTGATCCAGAATGTTGGAAAGGAAGGACTCTTCATTAGATGTCCCAAAGACTGTCACAACGTCAGTATCTTTTAGGCAGTGCAGTGTTTTTCACACCTTCAAGGAGTGCCTTCTCTGTTATTACAACTTTAATGACCTGTTTTGCTTTTTCTCAATGAACCAATTAAAATAGGGGCACTCAAACTTTCCTGCTAGCTACCTACAACAGAACTTCTCTGTTCTTAAAGAAATAACTCTTGTAAAAATACTCATAACCCTAATATATATTTTTTGGAAAAAAAAAAAAAAAAGAAGATTAACATTGAAAGCTGTACCCTATCTTTCAGTGAACTTTCCTAAGACAATCCCCAAACATGAGATTGTTGCCTTTTATCCTAAATAATTCCAACAAGAGACAACATACAGACCTGCTGCATCACCATGAGATCCTGAATGAAATTTTCTCTGGTCTCAGGCTCCAACATCTGCATTTAAAAGCAACAAAAAACCCACTGCTTTAATGGAGAAGCAATCTACCTATGTATCATTTGGGTGTACCTTATTGAGTGCACCACAGATTGCTCAACTAAATCTAAGATGCTCACTAGATCTTGAAGTGTTGGAAAACTCTTAAGCCAATGAGGATTGTATCAGGATTGTAAAATTTCAAATGAATTCTGGTGAATCCGCTGTGGGCTGCTATGGAAATGGAACAGGGTTACTTTAAAGGATATGTTATCACAAAAAAAGCAGAGGGAATCCACTTTTCTCTGTGCGTGTGTCAATTAGCTCAGCACAACCTGCTCTGTTTTCTGCCAGCTCCATCTGTTTCCATGGCAGCAGGAGCTGAATTAATACACCAACTGCGAATTCTGGATGTAAATGGTGCTGCCCATTGTCTCTGCAGCACCAGCAGACCTCAGCACCTAATTTCATTTCCCCAAGGCTGCTAATTTGCTTTTGTTATCATTACTTAGCGAGGATGATTTGGGTGCTTTTTTTTTTTATTTAATGTTAATATCTGAGACACAGCCGCTCTCAGGCCCAAGCGCTGCCATTACCCAGAGCCGGGGCAGCCCTGGCAGAGCTGTGCAGATCCAGCTTCGAACTTGAGGCTGCTTAAAACAGAGCCCTGAAATCCCATCCAGGCAGACGCGCTGCTCCGGGCCTCACAGCCGTTCATTCCCCTCCGGCCTCCCCCAAACTGCTGTAGGAAGGCCCCAAGCGAAGCACTTTCGTTGCCCCCCGAGTGGCAGAGCCCTTAAGAGTCACCCCAGCCTCCAACACCCAGACGCTCCTCCTCAGCCCTCATGAATATTCACATCGCCTCACAGCTGCGATTGGCTGCGGCCGTTCAAACGAAATGGGGCCGTCAGCAGCCGGCAGTGGGCGGGAAAGGGGAGGGCTTTAAAACGCGCCTGCGCACTCGTGGCGCATGGAAGTGACGTCACTCCCGCCAGCTCCTTACCCCGCCCCCTTGCTGTTTTTATCCAGTCACAAGCTCTTCTGGCCGCTCGGCCCAATGGAGCGGCGATTTGTTAATAAGGGGGCGGGGAAAGAAGGGGGTGGTGCTTGTCGTTTTGTCCAATCAGAAGGCGCAGGGGTTGGGGTGCGGGCTCACCGCTAAGGGAATTCACCTGGGCGGGAGGTGGCGCTGCTGCGAGCCGCGCTGAGCCTTAGGGTTGCGGGTTCGAGGCTCCTGGGGTCCCGTGGGGTTCGCGCTGCTCTCGTTCAGCGGTTCCTCCAGTCCTTCTGGTGAGCCGTCGTCTTTGAAAACAGCTCCCAGCGCTCCGTCCCTTGCAGCTCCCCCGTGCCACCAGTAGAGAGGTCTTGCAAAAAAAACCTCCTTGTGAATGGGTCTCCACTTGGCACCAGCGTGGATGGAGCAGTAGGAGAGCATTCACACAGCCTTTGGGCTCGGAGGAGCCAAAATAATTGTGGTGTAGTCCATCCCCGAAGGCTGAGTCGATTGCCATTTGCATGAAGGTCATGACATGATTTCCAAATATCATTTGAAAGTCGTGGGTGGTTGTGCAGAGCTTGGCAGGCTGTCCTGGAATTCCCCATTGATGCAGTTTGTTCAGACATATGCTACCAGTCATTAGGCAAAGTATTGGTTTATTGCCCTGGAGTGTCCCCTGTTGTTCTAACACTTGCTCTTTGCAAGCCTTCACTATCCCTAATGTTTAATCTCTGTAAAGGGCTTGCTTGTGATCATGATACATATTTCTCTCTTAATGACTGAAGTTAGGCAAGAAGTCAAAACTTAATATATCAGTGAGCTCTTGCCAGTACTTTTCTGGATTCATGCCTCGGGTGTAGAGCACGAAGAAGCACTACAAATGGCTCTGTTCCCAACTTAAACAAAGCATTATTCAGGCTTGTGTTCCAGGAATCTGTTTTTCACCACTCATCAGAAATATCAATGGGACTGTTTGTTTGGGCAGTTGTTGGTGGCTTCTGAAGCAGCAAGAAATTGTTGGCCTGTTCAGTGGTCCTTTATGACCAATTGCCATCTAAAACAAGCAGTTTGTAAATAAAGCATCTGCAGCAAGCAGAAGCAATCTACCTTGCTTTATTGCTGAGGTCTGACTGAAAGGAGATGCTGCATCTCACTCAGAGGGCAAAGTTGGAAATTACAACTCTCCGTTCTCCTGAAACCTATGGGCAGCGAGAGATGATGAAGAGAGGACAGCATACTGGACAGATTGTACTCAACAGATTGGTGAATGGAAGTGATGATCAAGCCCTTAGAAGCATGAGCTGCTTACTCTGTATGCATATAGAATAGAATCATAGAATCATAGCATCACTCCAGTTGGAAAAGGCCTTAAAGATCATCGAGTCCAATCACAGCATGACATGCGATGGTCTCCTTATTATTTTTTGCAATTAAAGAGATGAAAATCAAAATATCACTTTTTTTCTTTTCTTAGTTACCCAGAAAATTAGCCAGATGTTACATTTCCTTATTACAGTCAGTTACCTTTTTTTTCTCAAAATTATTTCAAAAGATTGAAAAATTACATCTAGAAAGTCTACCTCAGAAAGCAGCTTTAGTGCAAGCGTTTGATAACTTCTGAAGAGTCCCTCTATTGTTTCCCTTCCCGTAGTGGTGATGATTTGCAGCCTGATAGCATATCAAGGAAACACAGGACTTATATCTGTAAAGTGGACTGTGACTGTCAGGGAAGAGGCATCTTCATCGCCAAATCTGAGGACATAAAACCTGGACAGGGGAGGATCTGCCAGCAATACATCTCAAGGGTAAGCCCTCCATTCCATGTTTCAAGATTGCTGTTCTGTCACTGAGCTACTGTTTTAATATCCAGTTTAGCCTTGCTTTGATGTGGTCAGTCAGCCATAAATAGCATTCACTGGTCATTTTCTTCAGATTCATCACTATCAAAGGAATTCGTTGCTGTCAAAAGGAAAAATATCTACTTTACATGTCGCCACGTAAACTCTCATTCAGAAATAGCCTCTGTTATTTTGAGATGGAATCACCTTGACAAGAATTCAGGCCATTCGGACTCATTGGACAAGGAAAACTTTCCCTCATGAGCGAATGAGCCCTTAAACAATACTCATTTTTCACGAGTCCAGTTAAGCCCTACTGTCCTGCTCTTTACAAAACTCTCATCAAAGCATTTTTGATTGACATTTGGAGTCATGTTCCTGATGAAGTCTAATGTACAAACCCCAGTGAACGTCTAGGTTTGTGGATTTCTGATAGTCTTAGAAACAGAACCTTAATTTACTCTGGTTTGCTGTTGACCTTTGGATACGCTTTATTTTGGGAGATAAATTTGACTTTGCATTCACCTCGTTGTTATTTCTCGGGGATCATTCCCAGGAAAGAATGAAAGTCAAAGCCATAGATGGAGGGGAGGGCACACGGAGACTCTGGCTTGTTGAAAAAAGGAAGTAGGCAGTCACAGAATCATAGGATAAGAGAATGGCATAGGTCATAAGGGACCTTAAGGATCATCTTATTCCTCCTCCCATGCTGTGGGCTGTGTATAATCAGTGTTTGGGTCACAGACCCCAGCAATAGACATTTGCTGCATCTTTCCTAGCTCTGTGTTAGCTAGGCTAGACTATTCTGGAAAAATATCTACTGTAGGAAAGGGTTCAGTAGAGACATCAACTGGGCTTATAACCTTTGCTCTATAGGTTAATGAGTTACCTGAGTGACTCATGTGTTTCAAGCAAGTTTAGAAGCAAATTGGCTTCGCACAAAAGTCCCAGACTTTTATAACTGGTAGACAAAAGTTCGATCTGCAAATTCATGTGCTGGTGAATCTTGTGATCCTCTGAGGATATTTGTCTATAATGAGGACCTTACACATTTTGCCAATTCAGCACACTCTGACCCTTTGCCTAATAGCTTCATAAGTAAACAACTCTATCAGCAGATATTAATGACCATCCAATACATAGCAACTGGACAGAGAAAACACTGTGGTTTGATTGTCCAAAGATTCTTTATCTGGGAATCTCTAAACACTCCATAAATGTTAGTGATCTCAATGTGCAGAACCTCAGTTCCATTAATAAAAGCATGCATAAAATATTTTCTCTCTTTTCTAGTAGGTAGTTATATTTTTGGTATCTAAGCTGAAAACAAGTTTTAGGTGTGATAACACTGCCATAAATACAGATCTAATCGACTTTCAGCATAATTTTGGTACTGTTTGAGGTAGTTACAAGAAAAAGAAACGCTGGAAGGAAAGTTTGCCTCCATGCTAAGTTGTCTTTTTTTTTCCTGCTTCTTTATGAAAAGAAGTCCTGGCTTAGCTGATGGCTGGAAAAGGTTCTGCTGTGTAGTTCTGGATCATTCTAACATGGAATTAGCTCTGCTAATAAGTAGTTGTAGAATGGGACCTGACTGAGAAAGAGGGCTATATTCAATTGAAACTGCTGATTTCTCAGAAGTGATGGAATTGGAATGCTGATGAGATTGCAGTGAAGTGAAATTGAAGCTGTTGAGCCTCATTTATTGGGTTCTTTAGAGTAATGGGATCAGTATAGAGCTGATCATATTCAGTGCCATTAAATCTTCTGTGCTTAATTAAGATGCTCTGTACATTATGCAGTGTGACCAGGATCATGTAGAGAAGAAGAGAGGAGGCTAATACCTTTCTAACCCTGCATCTTGTTCATTCATTTACAGATAATGTATGCATGCATCTGACAAATTATTCCATTAACCAGAACAGTGTTAATTCTGCAGAGAAGAAGTCACTGGTAGTAAGAAATAAAAAGAAGCCAACATTTCAGAGCTACTCTCACAGAGGGTTGCATTTACCTCTTCTGTCATATGAAGTTGTCTACTTGAGCCTTGCCTCTGTATTGACTTATTGCTCTTCTTCAGCCTGTTGCTTGCAGCCACCCGCCTCTTTTTTAACACCGATTCCTAATTGTCGTGGCTCCGGATATCCTGCAGCTCCCAGCTAACGGATGGCTCATGGGTGGCCGGCAGAGGGGGATAGACTACACTGAATCGGTGGGAAAAAGGTCTCCGGGAGCTTGCATGGAGCATCTCCTGCCTGCAGGAGTCCCCACCTTTGTGGACGGCTTCTTTCAAGTTCTTTGCATGCGGAATTATTTCAGACTTAGCTATTACCCTCTGTGGAACGCACTTGGTAATGGAGAGTGTAGCCTGTGGCTCTCAGAGGACAGCAAGTTAATGGCAGTTCCTCCTCTTCTACTCCTAGTGGATGCTAGATTGGCATCGACTCCGCATTCAATCTCAGGCCATAATTTCAAACTGAGCAGGTCCATGATTAGTTTTCTCTTTGCCAAATTAAAAAAAAAAGAAAAAAACCAGCTTGTGTCACTGCTTTTTGTTGCTGTTGTTGGTTTGACAAACAGCAAGGACGCACTGGATGAGGATAGGATAAGGATAAGAGAGGATAAGAAGGCGTGTTTTTCAGCTGAAGTGGCTGTTCAGCAATCCTTGGTGAAACCAGCAGCAAAACTGTGGAATATCCAACCTTGATGATGGCAATAAATTGAAATCAGGATGGATTGTGCCGATAGACAGGTTGTTCAGTAGCTCTAAGAGCAGGTGGAATGGAATCTGTGGGAGAAATGTGGTGAGCCTGGAGGGATGGGTTTGCTGCCTTTCCTCAAATGCTTTCAGTCCACACAGTTCTGCAGTCTGGCAGTTGTAAAATGGAGCAGTCGTTCTCAAACTGTGACGCCTTTATGAGCAATGGTGCACAGTCTCCATGCAGCTTTATAGCATGGAGCAGCAATTTAATTCAGTAACACCCTTGTGTAGTGATAGCTGAGCTATCTTGACTTTATTTCACTGAGAACTGAGGGTGCACACGCACGGTCATGGCTGCACTTCTTCTAGAATAGGAGCTGGGTCATTTAAAGCTTTGTTCTGCAGCGTAGGCACTCTATTAAATTGTTGATCGTAGTAATTTCCTTCCCAGTGGATGTTGAGCCAACCCTGCTGAGCTGTTGGACTGCCAAAATCAGACATCTCCAGCATCACACCTATTACTCTTCATTGATACTGTGTTTGATATGAATACAAATAGATTAATGCCATAGACCAGGGTTTCACTTTTCAGGCTCACAGAGATGAAAGGATGGAAGAGGCCAAAATGAGGAATCTCAACCGTGATCCTGGAAGTCTGGGGGTTTGGCAAGGCTCGTTGTTTATATTGCTCAGTGGAGGGTCATTCATTTTGCACTTAACTCTGTTAAGAGAGCACTCAGCTCCTCACATGCCCTTCCTTGGCCTAGTTTTCATCTGATTAGAGGCAAAAAGACCTCTTGTGTCTGACAAATTGCTTCATTTCATAGGCTGATTTCTTCTTGTAGAGCGATTTCGGTACACTGATATTCATTTACTGTGTATTAACAAAAATGTTGATTATTCTTATTAATACTCACTACTTTCCCCCTGGTTATCCTGAAAACTGCCATAAGGTGAGTGGGTGAGTGATGGAGCAGGGTTCAAAGGTAAGGGATGTAAGAAATACTTGCCAGAGAACACAAGGGATTTGTCATTGAAAAGTTTTGAATGTTTGTAACCTGTCAAGAACAAGGAAATCTGTTTTACTCATTAATAATCTTATGTTATGCTTGCTTTGCAGACAGATAACGAGGTACTGTCCTTGTCCAAAGAACTT